TACCTGGTGGCAGAGAAAGTGGTTGTGATCACAAAACACAACAATGGTGAACAGTATGCCTGGGAGGTTTCTGCTGGAGGCTCCTTCACTGTGCATGCTGACCATGGTGAGCCCATTGGCAGGGATACCAAAGTGATCCTCCACTTTAGAGAAGATCAAACAAAGTACTTAGAAGAGAGGTGGGTCAAAGAAGTTATGAAGAAGCACTCTCAGTTTATAGGCTATCCCATCACCCTTTATTTGCAGAAGGAACAAAAGAATGAAATTAGTGATGATGAGGCAGAGGAAGAGAAAGGTGAGAAAGAAGAGGAAGGCAAAGATGATAAAGAAAAGCGCAGGATCAAAGATGTGGGTTCAAATGAGGAGGATGACAGAAGAAAACTAAGAAGATCAAAGAGAGATACATTGATCAGGAAGAACTAAACAAGACCAAGCCTATTTGAACCAGAAACCCTGATGACATCACCCAAGAGGGTATGGAGAATGCTAAAAGAGCTTCACCAATGACTGGGAAGACCACTTGGCAGTCAAGCAATTGCTGTAGAAGGTCAGCTGGAATTCAGGGCATTGCTATTCATTCCTTGCTGGGCTTCCTTTGACCTTTGTGAGAACCCGAAGAAAAAAGAACAATATCAAACTCCGTGTCCATTGTGTGTTCATCATGGACAGCTGTGATGAGCTGATACCAGTGTATCTCAACTTTATCTGTGGTGTGGTTGATTCTAAAGATCTGCCCCTGCACATCTCCCAAGAAATGCTCTAGCAGAGCAAAATCTTGAAAGTCGTTCTCAGAAACATTGTTAAGAAGTGCCTCAAGCTCTTCTCCGAGCTTGTGGAAGACAAGAATTACAAAGAAATTCTATGAGGCTTTCTCTAAAAATCTCAAGCTTAGAATCCATGAGGACTCTACTAACCGATGCCACCTATCTGAGCTGCTGTGCTATCACGCCTCTCAGTCTGGAGATGAGATGACAACTCTGTCAGAGTATGTTTCTCACATGAAGGAGACACAGAAGTCCATCTATTACTTCACTGGTGAGAGCAAAGAGCAGGTGGCCAACTCAGGTTTTGTGGTGTGAGTGCGGAAGTGGGGCTTCAAGGTGGTATATATGAGAGAGCCCATTGACGAGTACTGTGTGCAGCAGGTCAATGAGTTTAATGGGAAGAGCCTGGTCTCAGTTACCAAGGAGGGTCTGGAGCTACCTGAGGATGAGGAGGAGAAGAAAAAAATGGAAGAGAGCAAGGCAAAGTTTGAGAACTTTTGCAAGTTCATGAAAGAAATCTTAGATAAGAAGGTTGAGACGGTGACAATCTCCAATGGGCTTGTCTTCACCCTGCTGCACTGTGACCAGCACCTATGGCTGGACAGCCAATATGGAGTGGATCATGAAAGCCCAGGCACTTCGAGACAACTCCATCATGGGCTATAGGATGGCCAAAAAGCACCTGGAGATCAACCCCGACCACCCCATTGTGAGACGCTGTCACAGAAAGCTGAGACAGACAAGAATGACAAGGCAGTCAAGGACATGATGGTGCTGCTGTTTGAAACTGCCCTGCTCTCTTCTGGCTTTTCCCTTGAGGATCCCTTGTCCCACTCCAACCACATCCACTGTATGATCAAGCTAAGTCTGGGTATCGATGAAGATGAAGTGGCAGCAGAGGAACACAGTGCTGCAGTTCCTGATGAGATTCCCCACTCCTGAGGGCGATGAGGATGCATCTCGCATGGAAGAAGTCGATTAGGAGTTCATAGTTGGAAAACTCATGCCCTTGTTTAGTGTCCCATGGCTCCAACTGCAGCCTCGAGTGCCCCTGTCCCACCTGGCTCCCCCTGCTGATGTTTAGTGTTTTCTTTTTCTCCTGTCCTTGTTCTGAAGGCAGGAAACAAGGGTGTCAAGCCCCCATTTCCTCCCTACTCTGACACCAGCATTGGATGTTGTGTATTGTGGATTTTTTTTCAGTGTGTTCATTTTGTTCTGAAATTAAAGTATGCAAAATAAAGAATATGCCATTTTATACGAAAAAACAAAAAAGTCACAGAATGGTCACTGATAGAACAACTGCCAGCAGCAAGAGACAGGCCATTCGAGGATAACATGTGCAGGCCATTGCAGAGTCTCACAAGCAAAGGCCAAAACCCGCGTATCCGCCCACAACTGCCAGAGGAGGAATAATACTGATTTTGCCTCGGCTCATCTTTTCCTTTTTTTTTTTTTAACTATTTTGTAAAACTATTTTTAATTGAACATATTCATGGAGTACATAGTAATGATTCTATATGTATAATGTACAGCAATCAAATCAGGGTCATTAGCACATTCATCATCTCAAATCTTCCTTGCAGCTATTTGAAAGTATATAATTTTGTTAACTATAGTCATCCTACAGTGGTATAGAGCACTAGGATTTATTTTCCTCCTATTTAGCTATAATATTGTAACCTTTCACAAATCTCTTCCCACCACCCTGAACCCATCTGATCTCATCTGCCCACTTTCTAATCACACCTTAGTGCCCATCATTGGTTAAATCTGATCTGAAACCTTGCTGCAAGGAATTCTGGAAAATTTCACTCCCAGGCCTCAGCTCCTGTGATTTAGGGAAGAGCATGGAGTCTCTATCCCAGATGAGTGGGAATGGGTGCTGACACTGGCAGTCGACTCTCCTGTACAGTCAGTTGCTCAGTCCCCGCAATTTTCAATTGAAAATATCGTGTATGGAATAGTAAAATTCCTTCCCCATTATTGCAGCTCAGTGTAAGCCCAAAAGCTCGGTTTTGGACCCAAAGTTGAGAAACATAGCTTTGATCACCTAGGTGTCCACAGGTCCCCTGAATCTTATATTTGTCCTGAGGAAATAGCAGGTAGAATTATCTCAGTGGTAGAACTCAATTCCCTGAAGGACTGGACAGCTGGTGTGCTATTGATACAACATTGCTGCCTTCAAACAAAGTGGCAGGCCAGCACTGGAACCAATATGCCTGGCTTTCAGGATCTTTTCCCACTTTTCCTCTCTTCCTTGCTGCTCAAGCATGCCAGCCCATCCCATTCAACCTCCAACACAGAACGCCCAGGAGTGTAACATTCTTCCTAATGGACCCTAATGTACCATCAAAAAGACTCAATAGAACATTAAAATAGACTCCCCAATTAAGAACAATGGAAGCCGACTCTTTTCTCTTTGAGGCCCCCTCTGCACAAAATATTGTCTCATTTCTATTTTCCTGGGGAGAAGTTTCCTATCAGTCCTGGGAAAGATTAGTACCCATTTTAGAATGGCCTAAAATATTATTTCTTTTAATTCCAAAAAGAAAGACAAAAAAGTTGAGTGTTCATGTAATGCTGTAAATGTATTAAGCCCATGGTGCATGCAATGCTACTGAAGAATTCCCAGGCACTGAGATTGAGGCCAAGAGCAAATGATTGTGCATTTGAGATCTCTCTGAATTAGGACTCGCCTGAGCTCGCATTGATAAAATGTGACAGTTGTTCAGAAATGCACATTCACAGAAGGGCAGCCATGATAAAAGCATATTATGTGCAAATTATATTTTACAGAAAACAGAATTGCCTTTACTTGTTCCAAGTAAATTGACAATTTCCCTCTCAGTAGGCTGTGCAGATGAAGTGAACCCAAAAGCCATGTGTCTCCTAATGAAAAACTAAAATCGCAAATACATTTAAATTGCAGAGGGAGTATTCGAAGCATACTGGTATAGATTAAAAAAATGGATTCCTGGCCGGGCGCGGTGGCTCAAGCCTGTAATCCCAGCACTTTGGGAGTCCGAGGCGGGTGGATCACGAGGTCAAGAGATCAAGACCATCCTGGTCAACATGGTGAAACCCCGTCTCTACTAAAAATACAAAAAATTAGCTGGGCATGGTGGCGCGTGCCTGTAATCCCAGCTACTCAGGAGGCTGAGGCAGGAGAATTGCCTGAACCCAGGAGGCGGAGGTTGCGGTGAGCCGAGATCGCGCCATTGCACTCCAGCCTGGGTAACAAGAGCAAAATTCCGTCTCAAAAAAAAAAAAAAAAAAAATGGATTCCTGTACAAAAACCAAGTACTCTGCCTTCTTGAGTTAGGCCAAGAGAGTGTTTCATGTAATCTACTAGGAGGTCCACAATATAGCTCTTGCTCCTAAGAACTCTTTTCTTGGCCTTTTGGAAACAGATCCCTTGAAAATATGGGAAATGGTGAACCCCACAGAAATCTGTTTGCTAGAGCTTTATCTGCTCCATGTGCCTCCCACCTCTCTTGTCCTGGTACCTTTAGAGCACTCCACCACCCCACTCCATGTGTTCTGTAAGAATGTCAATATCAATGTTTGGGGGCAGGGTGCAAAGATGACTCAGGTTGATCAACCAGAATGGCTCAACACCCTAGTCTCAGTAAGTGGTGATAGTTGTCTATATGACCCATATAGGGGACTGAGAGTCATTTTCTTACCACTGGTGGTACTAAGCTAGGAGATATGAGTGTGGAGTCATCCTTGGTGGCCTTTGAGTTCACAAAGTAAAAAGAACTCCAAATTAGAATGAAGTCAGGGGCAAGCTGAGTTGAGAGGTAGACAAAAACAGAAACAGCATAATTACCTTCAGCCACTCTGGAAGTTGTTAGGGAGTTGAGTATGAGCTCCTGGAAAATAAGGCAATAAATTACTTTTATGTTCAAGATTTGTTTTACCCAGCCAAGAAAGTACAGGATTAAACAGATCCCCTCTCTAAAGAAAATGCATATAACTACCCATGAATAAAATAATTCATATAATTCCAAGAGCTTTCTGCATATAATATCAAAGGTTAAAGCCATTCTCCCCCACCTCCCCCCCCAAAAAAAAATCTTGTTCTGTCACCCAGGCTGGAGTACAAATGGCCAGATCTCAGTTCACTGCAACCTCCACCTCCCAGGTTCAAGCGATTCTACTGCCTCAGCCTTCTGAGTAGCTGGGATTACAGGAATGCGCCACCACACCCAGCTAATTTTTTTTTTTTTTTAATTTTTAGCAGAGACAGGGTTTCACCATGTTGGCCAGGTTGGTCTCAAACACCTGATCTCAGGTGATCTGCCCACCTTGACCTCCCAAAGTGCTGGGATTACAGGCATGAGCCACCATGCCCGGCAGGTTAAAGCCCTTGTAAGGACCTTAGGTTAAGAGCCCCTGCACATTGAGTTTACTTGGTGGCCTTAGGGTGGATTTTACCCTCTAAACTTTCTTCTTCCTATGGTACAAGGTTCTTTTACATGTTAAAATGTTAGTCCCTTGGAAGGTAAATATCACAGACCATTAATAGTCAGTAACAACCATTAACAAACAGTCCAAGGATAGTAACTGTGATTCAGAACAACCTGCATAAAATTGTTTGGCCACAAGATGATGAACAAGTGATACTTGGCTCTTATGATTTGAGTTCAAGCAAGTCATTTATCCCATTTGAGAAATTTCCCTTTTTATATAATGAAAAGTTTTGACAGATTTCTAAAGGTCCTTTCACTAATGGATCTGTTAAATTAACCATAGGTGCTTCTCCCATTCTCAGCTGTAATACAATTTAAAGCCAATCAAAAAATTAAATACTTTTTTCTATGTACACAGCACTTTTCCCATCCCCCATCTGTGAGTCCCAGTGTTATAAAGACTAGCTTTGGTTTCTTACTCACCCAAAGAGTTTGTTAGAATAGTATGCAGAGGAGCCTCGCAGAATAATAAATGTATCATATTACCCTTTAGTAGCTGTTCTTCTATTTATTCCAGGAAGTCTCCAATCTCAATTCAATCCTCCAGTTCAGAAATCTCCCTAGGAGGATTTGGAGATGAATGTGTTAATACGTATATGTAAACCTATTAAAAAGCAATGCAAAGAATTTTATGATGAAATGCCAGAATATGTTGGAATATTCTCATTGGAGAAATAAAATTTAGATTTTGATATTTAAAACATGGAAGTACTTTTGTGCGAGATTCATCTCAAGAGAAAAATGAGTGGATGAATAACTGTAACTGAAATATAGTGTTTTTCTTTTCAAAATCATGGAGTAGGATCCCAGTCTGTGTGCTCACCCTGAGATGTATTCACAGCTGGCAATGATGGAGAAAGAATGTGGACTCAACAGGATATCTTTTAATATAGGAGAAAATAAGAGTATCCTGGTTTGGGAAAAGTCACCCTAGGCACTGCGCACTCCTTTTTACAACTTTGGACAGACAGCAATGTGTTCACATCAGTAGGGTGGCTCTAAAGGCCACTCGTGTTATCAGACAGCCCCTAGATCATGGACACAGGGCTCAGGCCTGATTTATGGTAAGGGGGATGCTATAAAAGAGCAATACAAGTTAGAAGGATAAGACAAGTTAAGTGCAAGGTGTCAGCAACCTTGAAGCCAGTGACCTAGGCAACATGTGTTTGTGACCAGTCTCTGCAGCCTTGATGCAGGCACTGGTGGTATTACCAGCTGTCATGAAAGCTTGGGCAGACACTTTCCAGAAGACATGCTGCTCTAGAAATAGAGAGTGTTAGAGGTACAAGGTGAAGTCAACAATTCTAAGAGAACAGTTTCTAAGAGAACACAAGATGTACCTGCTTCTCAGGATTCTCAGAACTATTTGGAAAACTCGGAGGGATACCTGAGAAAGTCTGGGGCTTTCCCCTGGTAAAGCAGACAAAGCTGCTTTACTTCATATCCCATGGCATTTTACGCAAATAGCCACCCCGTTTTCTCTCAAAATGGTACAGCCTGCAGAACTGAAGCGCCAGTAAGGGAGGCCAAGTAGAGCTTAGCACAATAGTGATTGGAAGATAATTAGAACATGGAAATCTTGGGTTGGGTTCTAGTGTTTCAGGTCCACTGTCCAAATTGACATTAAATATTCAAACTGAGACCAGCTGCCAGACTTCCAACACCCTAGTACCAGTAAGTGGTGATGGTTGTATGGATTCCCTCCCTGGATTCCCTACTTCTAAACAGATGCTACAGTTTGTACAGATGCCTTTCTACAGAAACACCTGATGATTGTCAAGGTGCTGAAATGAGAGTGCAGACACACATTGATATAAATGATACTTTAAAACCTTGGGCTTGAAATGAGGGAAGGGTGGGTAGGCCATTTTGCTGGTTAATTAGTAGTCTACGAGTCATGGTTATCATTGTTACATGGTCTGTAATCCAAGAATCTGTACTTTATACAACTCAAAAACAAAAAACAAACAAACCAGCTAAAAAATAGGCAAAGAACAGAATGGACATTTCTCCAGAGAAGACCTACAAGGGGACAATAAGCACAAGAAAAGATGTTCAACATCCCTAATGATTAGGTAAATACAAAACAAAACCACAATGAGATTCTACCTCACAGCAGATGAATAGATCAGCAACATACAGGATGTACATACAATGGAGTATTGTTCATCCATAAAAAGAAATGGGAGTCTGACACGTGTTGCAATGTGAATGAACCTTGAAAACATTATGCTAAGTGAAATTACACCAGACCCAAAAGGACAAATCTAATATAATTCCACTTACTTTGAGGTACTTAGAGTAATCAAATTCCTAGAGACAGAAAGGATGGTGCCGAATGGTAGTTGCCAGAAGCTGAAGGGAAGGAAATGGAAAGCTAGTGTACAATGGGGACAGAGTGTCAGTTTGGGAAACTGAAAAAGTTCTGCAGATAAATGGTGGTGATGGTTGAACAACAGTGGATGTGAATATACTTAATGCCACTGAACTACATACTTAAAAATGGTTAAAATAGTAAATGTTATGTATATACCAAAAATTTTTAAATGTACTTCTCTTCCTTTTGACATGTCTTTAAACAATGATCATGCACATTGCTTAAGTCTTTGACTTTTGCTGGCCCTATGCCATTTGTTGAGATGGATGCCCTGTCACCAAGATGTGGCTTAAATCACAATGAAGAATAAAGTTTACACTTCGAAGGCTCTCATCTGCAGACGTGACTAAGTGGACTCACATGATCCTGTGCAACCCAGGCTACCACCAAGCAGCAGAGAACAGGAAGAGACAAAGACAAATTAGACAACAATGTCAAAATGTTAAGCCGTTGCTGTCTTGAGTGATTGGAGGCACCATTAGAGGCTGGGAGCCTACTCCAGGGGCCAGGTATTTTGTCAACAAACTTTCTATCCTGTTCAGTTCTCTCTCACAGAGGCTGGCTTCATATATGCAGCACATGTGGTTTATAAGAAAGAGAAGCAACAGCAAAAACTTCTCACATCGCTCCTTGTGTTTATGAAGCCCTTGTTTAGAGAGGCTTGAAAAGGAAGTTCTTGGTCTATAATATGTCTTCCTTGAAAATTATTTCCAGGCCTCCTTAAACCTTAGCACTATATAGAGATGCCAAGAGAGTAACCAAATCACCTTGTGTTTTCAATATCTACACCTATGCTTCTGGAAGTGAAGCAAAGCTTTTGTGGGTAGTAAATTCTAAAATGCCTCACTTTTATAGAAGGGACATTGAATGGCATAGTGAATATTGCCAACACTTCTATGGAATACAGAACAAATTTATCTGGTTCTTGTTCAAATTGCCACTGCTTTCCTATTGGAGACTTACCTAAGTGATACCACAAGACCTTTTTCTTTTAGATTCTCTCCTCTTTACAGTAGCCAAGTTGGAAATCAAAAGGTCTTTTAATAATAACGATATGTCACATTTCCTGTCATGTAGAAACAACATGCCATACTTCCTATCATGCTGAAAAATTCAGGTACCATGGCAAAGCCAGTGAGGAGCTATTTTATCACTCTGAACCATAAAGTTTTTCCTCCCTATAGGTAACTCTATTGCTTAAGTCAACATACCTAACTATCAGTTGTCTGAGGCTGCCTAAACCCTTACCCAATGCCCTTTCCATTACAATGTTTAACAATTGAAAAATAGGCAGAAGAGTCATGTGGGATAAATTTTCCAACATGATAAACTGTGGATTGATGAGGGCAACTGGTCAAAATGCTGCATTTGATTCCATGATTTGAAGGGATAGTGAACAACATCCCACCACCCTGTGTCAAATACAAAAGTAAGCATAGAAACTCATCTCTTCAGTCTACTACAAGCCAGAAGACAGGCTGGAAAACTTGTAGGCCCACAGAAGTAGAGGAGAGGAGAAAAGAGGTGAGGGCAAGAGAAGAGAGGGGAAGAGAGGAGGGGAAGAAAAGAAGCATACGTGAGCAATGACTTTTGGTATAGTAAACCGAACAATTATTAATTTGGGATAATAGTCTATTTCCAAAACACAATTCCACTGAGTCAAGCAGCAGACTTTGGGGTTAGACCCATTTGGTTACGTATTATGTCCTAGTGTGGAAGCCAATAGTGGTTGGGTGACCCAAATATCATTTCCAGCCCTTAATGTCTTACCCACATTTTTTAAATTTCTCTAAAAGCTAAAACTTGATCTCCCAGCCTGCCATGCAACTAGGGGTGGCCTTGTGACAGCATACCTCCAGACCATGAGATATGGAAAATAGTCCCTGGGGAGAGTGCCTGTGGCAGGCAGAATAACGACATTATTATTAGATATTGTTCACATTCTAAGCCCTGTGAATATGTTACCTTCCTTGGCAAAAGAGACTTTGCAGCTGGAATTAAGGTCAGGATCTTTCAGTGGTGAGTGATATGGTTTTGATGTTCTGTTCCTTTCAATTATCTTGAAATGCAACTTCCGACGTTGGAGTTAGGGCCCAGTGGGAGGTGTTTTGGTCATAGGAGTGGATCCCTCATGAATGGCTTGGTGCTGTCCTTGCAGTAATGAGTGAGTTTTCTATGCATTCACTTGCGATCTGGTTGTTTAAAAGAGTCTGGCACCTCCTCCCTTTCTCTCTTGCTCCCTCTGTTACCATGTGACACAGGAGTACCCCCTTTGCCTTCTGCCATGATTGGAAGATTCCTGAGGCCTCACCAGAAGCCAAGCAGATGCTGGTGCCATGTTTGTACATCCTGCAGAACCACGAGCCAAATAAAACCTCTGTTCTTTATGAAATACCCAGCCTTAGGTAGCCCTTTTTAGCAATGCAGAGGAACTAACACGGGGGGGATTGTCCTGGATTACCCAGGTGGGCCCAATGTAATCACAATGGTCTTCATAAGTAGAAAAGGGAGGCAGAAGACTCAGAAGAAGAGAAGTGACAACAAAAGCAGAATCAGAGTGCTGGGAGGTGAGAAAGACTGAACCATCTATTGATGGCTTTCAAGACAAAAGGTCCACAAGCCCACAAATGTGTGTGGCTTGGAAAGGCAAGGAATCAGATTCTCCCCCAAGGCCTCCAGAGATAGTTCAGCCCTGCTAACAAAGGACTTCCTATCTCCATGTTAATAAGATAATAAATATATGTTGTTCTTAGTCACTATGGTTTGGTGTTAAGTTTAGTGATAATTCATTACAGCAACAACAGGAAACAGATACAGTGTCTTTTACCAAATAAACACACTTCACCTTTTCCTCTTCCTTTGTTGTGTTGCATGGCATGCAGACATGGAATGGATGGCAGCCACCTCACGATCTTGAAGCCATTTGCATGAGGATGAACCTTTGTGCTTGGGACATCAGAGCCGAAAAAAAGATTCTGGGTTCCTGATGAGCCACCAGCCCTCAGACGCTCATCCCTGAACTTCCTGTCACACAAAACAAATGAAATGTGCTTTAAGTGGTGTGTCAGAGCCAATGCTCATCAACCTGTGAAAGGTAACTATTAAATTTTTCAGAACTTCATAGTCAATTGTTAAACACAGATATTATTAAAATTTAAGTTGTGGAATCTTCTAAATAAATTA